TTAGTTCCCTGACATGCCATGCAGTCTTAAGGATTACCTTTCTCATCTGAAGGGTTGTGACTAACAGGAAGTTAAGATAGATGGTGGGGTTTTAATTTCCTTTTAAAAACAATTTTGCTTTAAAAAATTAGGATGAGCAGAATAACTAAATCCTCCTCGCAGGACCCCAGTGGTATTACCTTCTGAGATATGGATGGGGAGGAGATGCTCTGCGTTTGTTTAGTCTGTTCCCTCTTTTAGTGCCGCTGTGGCTGTGCCTCCTAATGGAAATGAATGTGAGGGATGAATTGTACCCATTCTACAGGGTGGATCTGGGGCTGGAGAAAGAAAAGCTTGTAGCCAAGGCCATTGGTGTGTATCAGAGGTAGATATCTTCCCAGAACCTGGCAGCTCCCAGAACTTGCACACACATGCATACGTATGTCAGGCAAATGAGAGAGCTAACTGTGTTCTGACGTAGACAGGATGGAACCTATGCAGGCTTCTCTCTCTTGACCAGGAGGAAGTGGGTATTTGCAGAGTTGCCACAAGCAGGCTGTTTGACAGAGGGAAAGCTCACCCTTTGAGGAACATCCAGAGACCCTAGACTCCGAGGTTTCTTTTGAACTACCCAGTTTGACTCTCACAGGCTAGTGATAGTCTACAACAAAATCTTCCTCTTTCTGGCCAGAGCTGATCTAACAATCCTGATTATTCCTGAATGCCAAGTTGAAAACTGTTCAAGATCAACAGTAAGAGTCTAATATCAGTGTGAGGTTCTATCTTTGATTAGCTTTGTGACCATGGTGAGGGCCAGTGGTCCTCTGTGAACCTTGTATGATCTGCAGAGGAGAACTATATAGAGGAACCGAGCATGAGCGGGAGATTCTCATGGAGCTTAGGTAATGCTGCGTTCCATCTTCTATGGAGAAGTAAGGCACATGCTCAGCAATTCTGCTACTGGTTACAAGGTAGGAGAAAAACATTCTGTCTTAAGGCTGATTTCTAGCAAGAAATTGGGAACTTTCTATGAAAGTATAGACAAAGTCTTCTGAACCGGGACCTCCCTACCCAGGTACAGACAGCAGTGTTCAAAGATGCCTCAATCCAAAAACAAAGGATACCTCAGTTCACTGTAGCTTAGCAATTAAATAAATGGAGACAGGACAGGAAAAGACACAGGGAAGTAAACAAACAGAGGGATATCCCAGGTTTACCAGAGACAGGCATTTTCAGGGGACTTGGTGGGGGTGGCATCATTCTTGGGCACACAAGTGCTTGATCTGCAATTGACAAGCCCCAAATCCTCCCAGCTGACCTGGGTCATGGTCTTATTTACTTATGCAATGTAGACGAAGGCAGATCTAATGCTGGCCATCTGTCAGAGTAATACTGACCTGTCCCTGAAAGGGATTTCAGCAATCTCCTATCATCTTTGTAAGACAAAATAATGTAATAGTGCAAGGGCAAACAGAGCTAGACGGAAACGGTGAGATTCAGGGAGAGAGATACTGCAAGAGACGGTGGTGAAACCAATATGTATCATGTTAGCAACCTGGTACTCAAAACCTCTCTTTAATCAGGGATGAGAAGAGATTTTGCAAGCTAGAAACTAAGGCTCTCTGGTCTGCTTCTCATAAACGCCCGTATTTCTTAAAAAGAGAGTTGGTTTCATTTCACAAAGCATGAACACAAGCACAGCTCCTCAGACACAAGGTTATTGAACCTCTCTGGGGAAAAGGGTCAACAGACAGAATCCTGCCTGAGAATTTAGAAACAGGGCAGGTTGACCAAACTGAACACACACACACACACACACACACACTATTTATTTACCAGATGCCAGGCAGATGTCGCCATGTCAGAGTTCACATAACATGCTTCTTCCTGAAGACATTATTGTCCAAGAGGAAGCCAAAATTTGGGCTGGCTCGGGAGCTTCTATGGCCATTGCGGTGTCCTGGGCCTCCATCTTGATGTTGCCACTAAGCCACATTGAAAGGTGCTTCAGTAGGCTCTTACATGAGGAACAGACAATGTCTCAGGCCCTCCAATTTTCTGTTAGCTTGTAGGCGTTAGTTTTTCTGGTTCATAAGTAGAGTTAACAGTAAGGACATTGTGATGGACTCAGATAGAGCTGGCTTAGAACCTTCCATTTTCCTACAAAAACCCACTCTGTTGCCACTGGCGTTACTTTTCTATAAACTGGGGTTTATGGGTGCTTAGAATCTGCGGACCAAGATAAAATATGAAACCTGTTCATCAGATTGCCTGGTAATGAAATAGAAAGTGCTAGACTTATAGCCACCATTTTTGAATGATGTCTTGCTATATTATGCCAACAGGGAAGGCTTTTTAGGACAGTCCTTATGGAAACCCTGGAAACAGTTCATGCACGTAGACTGTGGCCTGGTTGCAGAGATTTCTGTGGATAGTCACTCCAATGCTCTAAATATAGCAGAACGGGCCATTTCCTGAGAGTACACACTGCAAGGCAAGTTTAGCAAGCGTTTCACTTAATTAGCTTGTGTTCAAATGTGGTTTCAGGGGCTGTGCCACCCATATATGTCCTCAGGATCATCCATCTAGCCCTGGAGATCTTCCTTTGCCTTTTAGAGATATCAGAGCCATGCCTTGGTTAACTGTCCGGTGAAATGTCTATTCAGTACTCTGCATCTCTGTCCATCCCCTAGGAAAGGGCAGCAAGGCAACAATCTTCACACCAAGTCAGCAGATTAAGGGAGGATTGTCAGCTTCTCTCAGGACCTCAACCATCTCAGGTATCACAGTCATGGACTCTTCTTGTTGGGAAGCCCACACACCTGTCATATAGTGTCAGATCAGAAACCGACAAGCCTATGAGATACAACTTAAAATGGACAGAGGTGATTATGAGAATTTGTACTGTCATTCGAAAAAGACTGCTTCAGCTGGTGCTGAAATCAAGAATTGCTTCCTGGAATATCATCAAAGGAACCACAATGGGTAGACCAAATGGAAACACAATGCAGTGACTGCAAAGTAGTCCATAGATGTACCACAGATTTAAAATCTTATTGCCATTTGGGGTGAGGGAGTGTGCACTTATAAACCCAGAAGTTAAAGAATGGAGACAGGAGGATCAAGACTTCAAGGTCATCCTCTGTTACATAGAGTTCTAGGTCAGCCTGGGTTATATGAGACACTATTTCAGAAAATTTAAACAACAGTAAAATAAAAAATAAAATAACCTCTACAGACAAGCAAAATCCCTAGAAACAACACTAGCAAGACTCTATTGCTTTTCCTCAATGGTTCTTTTAGACCAGTCATTCTCAACCTGAGGGGCACGGCCATTATAAGGAAGGGTTGAGTATTAGACATCCTGAATATCATCTATTTACATTATGATTCATGACAGTGGTAAAATAATAGTTATGAAGTAACAAGATAATCGTATGGTTAGAGTTATTACAACATGAGGAACTATATTAAAGGGTTGCAGCATTAGGAAGGTTGAGAACCACTGTTCTAGACAAAAAAAAAAAGAGGTATATACAATTTCCTCAGCCTACCAATTGTTCCATCTTCTCATTGAAAGAGCATGTTAGTGGAATCATTAAACAAAAAACAAAACAGTCGGGTGAGGGTGACCACTCCATGTCTTGAGGGGTGTTTAGTGAGTGGGTGCCTGTCTTCTGTGGCGCCCTCTACTCCCTACCACTGACACACCACAAACAGCAGTCACAGCCTTGACAGTTTCTCTGTCTTCTAGACATAACAGTGACCAAAGATGGAAGCTGCACCTTTTGCAACCAAAGACAAGACAAATGTCAGTGTGCTGCAGGGAGAGCCTACTACTGCCAGTGCCTTATGTACCTGCTGGCCTGTGATTGGTAGACCATAAACATTTATTAAAAAATAAGAAAAACAAACCTACTATTCTAATTATTCAGAAGAGGATTACTCAAATCTCATGTAAATAAATCATCCTAGCCCCAGGACCAGTCTACCCCTCCACCCCTCCAGGCAGCCCAACCACGAAGCACTGATTTAAAAATCTTGCAATTTTATTTGCATATAAAGGCCGCTAGATATAGAATATTACAATAAATTTAAAGAAAACAACTGCTTTTCCTAAATTTGAAGGTAACATAAAATAGAATAGCACTCAATGGCGTCGACAATGGGAGACCAGAAAGGATTATTAGCAACAATATTTTGTGCTAGCGAAGATTGCATCAACACACAGTGCAAAATGGGAGGGGGAGGGGGAGTGAGAAGACAATGCAGGGCTTTTAAATAGAAAGGACAACTAAGCCTTATTTAGTTTGCTTCCCGATGCATCCGCTGAAGTCTATACACACTGGTTACTGTACCTAGACTGAACCCAAGCTCTTTAAGACCTTGAGTTCGTAGAAAGTATGGGTCAGTTCCTTCGGACGTCTGATGTGCTGCGGCCGATGTTGCTTTGCAGTTGTACTGTCCTTGGCAAGATTAAACTCCCAACTGAGTCGTAATGCACAAAAAATAGTTATATATATATAAATCCATATTGAAAAGGAGTCTGCACACTTTCTTTTTTCTTTGCATGACTACCTCTTGACGGATTCTTGTTTCCTTACTTTTAAAGCTCAAATAATTTAAAAGAAACAAACAGTGTGAGAGTTGGTAGCGTCATGATACAGATCTCTCTGGCTAAGCCTCCACATGAGGGCTGTTCTTCCCCAACCTCGGACACAGTCTTCTTTATAGCCAGAGTGAAGCTAAGGTTTTTCCAAACCTACTTCTGTAGGGATTGCTCTAAATTGGGGCCACATCTGTAAAATAAAAATGAGGCAATACCAAGAAAACAACAACAAAACACTGAAAATTAAAACATATCAAACAATACTCAGAGTTGTGCAAATCTGGGTGATTTTCAAAACACTGCCTTTGTGTTTCTTTCTCTCTTTTCTCTCTCTCTCTTTTTAAAAATCTTTTCCTTTCAGCTTAAAGCATATTCAAATAACACTTTTTAAAATCATCTTTTTTTTTTTTTTTTAAAGAAAGCTTGGCTGTCCTTTGGCAAACACTAACAATTTACAATGGCGTGGCCTTTGAGCAAACAGAAGTCATTTTACAAATTCACAATGCTCCTTTGATTTCAAATGGATGCCCCACTCAAAAAAGCAAAAAGAGGCGGCACAATGCTAGCATCTTTTTCCCCCCTCCTGTTCCGACAATTTACAAAAAGAACTCACAGGATTTGGAAATAAACAAGTCAGAGAATGTGAGTTTATAATTAGAAAAGTGGCAGTTTGTAGACCGTCCCTCACATTCCAATGGCAGTTTCCCTCACATTCCAATGGCAGTTTGTAGACCGTCCCTCACATTCCAATGGAATGCTGAGCGCTTTAGGAGCCCTGTGGGTTTGGAAGGTCAAATATGATTGGAGGGTTGGTCGGTTGAAAGCTGACGGTACAGGTTGAGGCATTGATGTAAGTGGTGTAACCGTCGGTCATGATGCCGTACCCTGGAGGAAGATAGAGTCACAGTTACTTCAGTTTATACAAATGACATCGGTTGAGCACAGGGACACAGACGGGAGAACAACGACATCTTTGTCAGAGGACAGGGAGATGAAATTCAGTGGACCTTCCAAGATACCACAGATTTCGGGAGCTTCTGGCCAATTTTGCTGTTTTCTTTAAAAAGGGAGAATTCTCCCCTCCAACACAGAGCTATTCTTCCCTGTGTCCCCTTTGCTTAAACACTGAACTGGTCAGGCAAAAGACAGGATACCTGTATCGCTGAGAATAAAGAAATGTATTCCCCTACTTTTAAAGTATCATCTTCATTTCAAAATCCTGCATTAACTATTAAGTTGCAGGAAGGAAGTGGGCAGCCTAAGAGCACAACCTGGCTCCAGGAGGAGGGAGGCAAGAGAGCTGAGGTTCCTCCTCACCCCTACAGCGTCCTAGCATCGTGACAACTAACCACAAGTCACTGATTCCACCTTGAGTTATGTGACTTTAATGCTAAGTTCCACTTCACTCAGAAGCATTGCCTCTTCGATTGTGGTAGGTAGAGAGACATCGCCACAGGACCCTGTTTCCTGACTATACTCAGACGGAGCATGGAGGGAAAGCACCCCTCCACGAAAGCTGAGAAAATGTCATGCCATCCCTGGCATGTAGACTTCCTTTATAGTTTTTAACATGGTGACATTTTTAGGCTTCTAGGAAGTTTGCACATTTCCAGGGACATCTTACAGCTTCTTCAATGAGTCCGTAATTCTATGTTCACACTGGACTCCGAGGTATAAAAAAACAGCAAAGGAGAAATAAAATGACCAGGACTTAACAGAAATTAACTGATAAGGTTCTTATCCCTCTACCCTCCTCCTGCTCCATTTGCTAAAATTTTTCCAAGTAAGCCTGTGGAGAACTTAATGAGGGTCAATGGAAAAATCTCTTAAGAAAAGAAAAGCAGCATTTAAAATGTGCCCTGTTTGGTTCCGGGGTCATAAAGTCTTGTTATCTCTCTCCATCAAGAGGCTGGTATTTGCCCTCTCTCTGCCCTCTTTAGCTGTCTTAAGTGAATAAAAGCAAGTCACGTTTATTTGAATATGATCACTTCCCTTTAAAGCAAGTTTATTATTGTGGGGCTCCAGTGGAATTCTCCAATTGTCTGGCCAGTTTAAGGTAAACTCATGACTTAAACTCCTTTTTTTTTTTTAAAAAAAGGGTGAAATTCAAACCCAAAGGAATCCTACAGGAATTCAAACTAGTTTTCAAGATAACAGCCCCACCCCCACCCTGTCGTCCAGGAAATACAGTTTAGATAGGTAGTCCCATATCTCGTCTGCTAAAGAATACTCACTCCTGCTTAGGGTGCAGAGGATTCTCAGCTCCACCCACTTGCTCAAATGTCTCTCCTCTGCCTCCTGACAGAGCTGCACCCTGCTTTCCAGACAGTCAGCTGGTGCCTGTATTTGGATCAAGCTGATTTTTCTCTGGCCTCTGTAGGATGACTTTTCAATACCTTCTTTATTACCCGCCTAACTAGGAAGCCACTGTGCTTGCGGACTGGACTCCATGGAGTAAACTCGGCATTCCATTTCACTAAACACACAGCCCCATACACCTCAACTTGACCCTGACATTTATAAGGAACTCCAGAGAGCCACAGCGAGCAGGGGTTGGGAATCATGGCAGCTGTCCACATAAGCAGCTCTGCCTCACATAAATACGCATGCCCTGGCCAGTCTTGTAGTTTCTGAGACCCCCAGATCAGCTGACGGGAAGACTCCACTTGTCTACAAAAGCCCAGTGACATCCTGGTTTAAAAAGGCACAGTAGACAAAACCCAGAACCCTGAAGGTTCCTTGAGGCTTTTGGATTCTGGGACCTTGACTCAACTTACCATGAAAGACAGAAACCAACTAGTGGATATTTTCTGTTAGAGATTTCACTGTTCCAATTAACCTCAGCCAACAGTGCTAACACTTTCTGACAATTCTGAGCACAGTAAGGGAATGTTTTTGATTTGCAAAGGGTGTTTCCTTCCATATCTGTTAGGAAGCTTTCCTCACATGTACAGAGTAACCGTGCAGAGATCAGCTTGCGTTCCTGGCTTTCTGTGTTTGGCATGTAAGACACTCTAGATACAGGCAGGGACTATAGATGCTTTGGGCTGTGTCTACCTCTAGGGCAACTTGTCTAACTCCATTAAAGAAAAAACTCTGGCCTTATTGGTGCTGCAGCAATGGTTATTAGCCCTAGACTCCAAGGCTGCTTGGGAGAGCGTGAGGCCTGAGGTAAAGTGCTTCTACTTGCCTTTCTACTTAAAAGACAACAGTAGAAAATACTTATCCGCTTCATAGACGTAAGCTTTTCTCATGAGGTTTCATCTCATAAAAATGGTTCCTTTTTGACAGGGCTTGAGGATCACGGTGTTCTCACCACACCATGCTTAGCCACGGCTGCCTGCTGGAAAGTGCGAGGTCAGGGAAAATGGCACATTGTCCATCCTGTATTCTTACCTTCGTGAATCCCACCAAACACATGGAGCTTGGGCCGGACACGCCTCTGGACTGTGTTTAAGAGCTCCACGCAGCCCACCCTTTGAAGCTCCTTTGGAACCCAGTCTCGAAAACCTAAGGGCAGAACGCAATCAATACTCTTAATTTTCCTTCCTCGGGTAAGGTTTCATGCCCACTTTCCGGAAGTCGTAACTCACCCGAGGTTTATTATGTTATCTGTAATCCCAGCCTCCCCATTAAAGCTCAGAATGGCTTTTAAGGAGTGTTCACTAATCGTTTTGTCTTCTTTGGATTCTTGATTAATTTTTTTTTTTTTTGGTTTCCATTTTTTCCCCCTTTCCAGTTAATTAACATTCTTTTTCTTCAAGAAGTTTGATTTATTCAACCACAGGTTTCGAATCTCCTTCGTGAGATCAATGACATTTATTCCCGGCAGCCCCATAACAGCCCTTTCCCACTCGATTCTGCTGCGTTCTCTTCTTCAGAATTCTTTCTTGTACATAGACATACCAGTTTATTCGCATGACAGTTCACAGAAAGGGGATCTGGAAGAGCTCCCTGGGAACTGGCCACAGGATGTCTTGCTCTGCTTAGAGATCACTCTTAACCCTTGCTGGTTCCTGACAACCAAAGATTTGGAATACCCAGTTGCTTCTCCAATCCTCTTCAGCAACAGACAACGTGACCTCATGGTGGCATCCAGCAAGCTTGGGCTAATTGACTAGTTTTAAAGTAAAAGCCACTTAGTCCTCTGCTTAATGCAGAAAATCTATAAAACTCTGACATCAATTATAGCAAAAGTCAGCTATTTAGATGATTATGGTCTAAAATGAAATCCATACACCTCAGCAGGACGGGCATAAAGAAGCCAGGTGGGATGAAAGGCTGCACCACAATCTGTGGAAATCCATCTCATAGCTCCATTAGGTACTTTTTACCGTTAGAAATGGCTGCGCAGGAAGGAACTGATTTCTGTCCTACTTGGCCAGGCAGGAGGCATGAATATTTAGTCTCTATAAAGACAGGGTAGCTGGGGTGTGGGGGAGTGACTGGAGAGAATGGGAAGACTATCGGGTTGAGAGTGAGTGTCTAGCAAAAACCAAACTAGGGTATATAGAAAAGTACTGAGAAAAGGGAACATTCTGAATCCACAGTAATTGGCATTATTACTTTGTGGGTGTGTTTTCTTTTTTGTTTCTTTTTCTTTTCTTTTCTTTTTGTGCTTTCTTGAAGAAGGGAAAACACTTCTCTGTGTCTATGAGCACCTCAGATAACATATTGCTGAGACTATTAATAATAGAGTACATAGCACATATAACTTCCTTCACCCTGAGAATTCAAGGATTCAAACTCTCCAGCCCCATCCCCAGAACACCACAGCATTTTCCAAACAATCCCACACTTAAAGCTCTTGATACCGTGAAAGCTTTGTCTGACTTCTTATGAAGCTTCTGGGTGTGGACCTCCCTCTGATATAGGTACACCCTGGTTTATCTCACTTTTACTAGGAAAAGAGGGGCAGCAGCCTCTGTTGTAAGCGTTGCCAGGGTATCGGGAGTGTGTAGACTATAGTGTTGAGACTCAGCTATTACTATCACTTGCCTCATGCCAAAATCAATGACTTCATTGCGAATTGCCTGTTCTGTTTGAAGTCATGTTTGAAGGGATGCTCTAGTGATGGGAATGTTTCAGTGTGTATAGCTATCCAGGACCCCCACCATGAACAGCACCCAGTCAGGCTGCAGC